ACGCCGAAAAATTCACATAGGATGTACTTGTAAAAAATGACTTAGAAAAGTACTCTGACCATCATAATTTTTTGGCTCTGGTCTCTCGGAATATCACTAGCTTAAGCGTCCGCAGAATGTTTTCGTTGACTGAGATTTGCATTGAAAACAATGTTCAGTTCTTCTCAAACCCTAGGTAATTTTACGATCGATGAAAAAAGTTTTTGAGGCAGACAACTAAAAAGATTTTTACCATCTTAATATGCCTATGAACGATGATCGGTTAAATTACATTGCATATGATAAAATGGAATGAACCTCCTCTTAACCATGAAAACCGTTTTGGGTCAGTTAAGGCGAACTTGTATAGCATAAAAACAACCTGCAGTTTCCCATACCACATTGAAGTCCAGACAATTTAATTTACTCACTCATGTTCACCACACACTTACCATCTGATGTAGGGGCAAGGGGGTTAAGTATTAAATGACTTCGGAAAGTCGGTCGCTCCCTCGTATACTCTGAAATCAGTTTCAGCCAGTCGTATACAGTCACTAACCGGTCTCGTTAAATATCAACTGAAATTCTGAAATTGGTTTTCAATAAGGAGGGACAAGTTAAGTTTACTATTGATTATTTTGCGACGTAGTCCTATAATATTTCAGACAGGCCAGGGTGCTGGCCTTTGTTTTCGACCATCAGGGGCAATCACAGTCGGTTAAAATGATTACTTAAGCACTATGCATTTTCACTATTTATTTTTACAGCCCTTGTAAATTCAAATGTATTTTACAGAAAACCTCTAAAAACACTACCCCTTGTACTCATTCGGTAGCAAATAATGTCGCGTTAGAAATATATTCTAGAAAAAATGATGTGGCTGGTGTTTTACAAAGGCTTTAACCCCTGAATAATTTTGCATTCCAAAACCATTCCGACATGTCTGATATATTACGGGGTTAGGCCACAAGATGGTCAACATACAACCCCACTTAGGCAATCCTTACAAATCGATAGAGTCCTTCATAGTTTCGACTAACGTTTCATGAGATATGTCGCTGACTGCAAATGCATGTACAACCGCCTTTAGATGCCGAAATTGGGGAATTTTTTTATTAGGAAAGACGATGGAATACTCATCCCTTAGAAGTTCCAAGTTAAGCCCACTATTTGTGTTCTTAAAGTTATTTTTAGGAGCGAACTCACGGGAGGAGGTTGACATAGCCGCTTGGGCGCCATTTTGCTTACACAGTGGGCGGACTAACTTATTTTGTGTTAAGGTGCCAATTACCATAAGGCACTATTATGGCAAGATTTTGGCTACTAGCTGGGGTATTTTCTCAACATTCCCTTTGCATTACGCTGGTGATTAACCATTAATTAACCAAAACCTGGAATCTATGTTCAGTGCGGTTATAAGTTTAATCTTATTTGGCGCAAGTACCGCAAGATAGCTCATTCCACTTTTAATACTTTAATAGGCAAATTTACTAACTTCTATTTACTACTAGAGACGAATAATCCCGCTCTTGGAATTTCGGGCTCCCTGCGAAGAAGGCTTCTGACGACTAGGAACGTCTGGAATGCACGCGAATAGTATTTGGAACCTGTCAGTGTCGCAGAAGACCGAATCCTCCTGTTAACGCCTCCAAAACTCAAGCAGTTACTGAGGCATCAGAAGAGAAAATGCGTCTCTACTTCAAATTCCAGACAAAAGGAAGGCGCCAGGCCTATGGACGAATTTATGTCATGACCAGTGAAGAAAACGCATGCCGATTACGTGAGGGGGATTTGCAAGTGTGACAAAATGGCGTTCATTGAGCAATTTGCGGGGCATGTTCGCCCCGTCTAGAGGTTCAGTCTAAAGTCCTCACAGGCAGTCTTGTAAAGATTAGGCTAAAAGCAATTGTATCTCAATGCCAAAATATGAGGGCCAATTCTATGTAAACGTCGAAATACTCCAAAAGTTAAGATTCCACCAAAGCTTCCTTACCGGTCACTCGAAAATTAGTCTTATAGTTAACGATTTATAGCGACCTAGGAGAGTTTCACTTTATTTACCAGAAGACGCTCATACGCAGTTTTCTAGTGAAGCCTCAGAAGTCTTTGTAATTACTGGAATATTAAAGTCCGAAATGCACCGTTAATCTAGGTGTCAACTGAAAGGAAGCCATACTATGACTGAATATACACCAGTTTGTTTGGTCGCCAGTTTTATGTGTGGGAATAATGTTAGGTTTTTGCACCATGGCGTCCTACATTCAGACCAAAATTTGATTGTATGCTAGTAATAAAGTATTATTTTGATAAACTCGATCAATGATATCCCAGACAGCTAATTTTCCCTTGCCATTTTTGCGCCTATCTCTGGCATGGGACGACGCCGTTTTATGTCCTCCATCACCTGCCTCATATACAGCGCCTGCGGGGAGAGCAAGAGGACAGAACGGCATCTCCAGTTCTCATCCGTGATCTTCGCCATGTCCGCAAACCTACATTTTCACTTGGGTGCTGTTGAATCACCTGACCGAGTAACCGATCGACAGGAAGCAGCACAGTGTCCCCAGTACCCATTTCTTGCATCACGTTGAGGACTAATCACTAATTAAATAGCGTGCTACGGCACGCCTGGGGACGACCCGGTCGCGACAACCATCTGCATCCTCTTCCGCCTCCTGTCTTCTTGACTATGTTTTGACGCCGGACTCAGATGGTAAAAGGGGGAGTGCGATATGTGCTGCACAAGCTCGCCATCACTATAAACTAATTCACGCGCAATTTACCATCACTGCTCTCACCCTGTTATTGCGTACACAGTGGACATCGTCGACATCGACGGTCGAACTGTCAAATTGCGTACGAAATCTTCTTTTGTTTTTCGTACATATTTGCTCTCGTTTTCGAAAAGTACTGCACTATAGATCGTTCCAGTCCTAAGCCAACAGTAATATTTCTTAGGTTTCTGGCCAAAATCCCTAGATGCTATGTAAAGCACAGGTGTTTACTTTTAACCGGGCTTTTTAACATCCTATCCGCCACCCTTACAACACAAACAGCTATGAAAATTGTTTACTATATAGCTTAAATGCAACCAAATTTCCTAGGACCACCACAAAGAAGCTCATTTCCGATTATGCACTCCAGAAAACAACGGTGTTACATGAAGACACGGAATTCATTTCCGAAGGTGCTAGCAACATATGCGATAATGAAATGCGGACAAAGACGAGAGAGACCGGAATGACCATTTCCCAATCGCAGTCGACAGAAAAACGATCCCGTGGCTCATTAGTAGAACGTTCGATTCAATGACCAATGATCCGAAATTCGAATCCCAGTATGGTTTACACCCGGGATTAAATGTAAATGGTTTATGACGGCTAATAAGCCAGAAATCGCAATTTCGGTCTTCTTTGTCTTTGTTGGTATTCCATTATCTTTAATTTCAAGTGGAATTTAGAGGTTACAGTAGGTAGGCTAACTTATGAAAAGCCGGCCGAAATTTCAAAATTGGTTTCTGCTTCCAAAAGATTAATTAAGTACGGTTTTAAGATTCATCATCCAGCAGCATAATTCTATAATAATCCAGTTACCTCAGAGTGCCGGCTATCGAATGAACATCTTTCCGACTTCATGCAAGTACTTTACTCTATAAAACACGACTACACGTGTAGCCTGTAATTGAAGAAAAAGGCACGATTGCCGGGACAAGAGCTTTATTAGCCTGACGTTTCGGATCTCTGCTTGAATCCATCATCAGAGGCAAAAGCAGATAAGGGTGGTTCATGCATATGCGGCGGCAGTATTTATAGGATGCACTAACCATGCTACCGCATACCTACGAATATTCACGGCTCCCTCCCTTCATCAGGGATCGTTGCACTTGGCGTGATGGCCGACATTCGCGTCGTTAATTGCTGCAATTTCATCATGTGCCTTGGATGTTAGTGTGATGATTGCTCGACCATCTGACGCACCGACCCTCGTGTTGAGAAAAGTGTTCATCTGTGCGCTCCTCGCGCGGCCAATTACTCCGCCTAGACGAAGTCTCAGCACGGAGTATTGAATGGGAAGATCATTGCACTTGCTAATAGACTGGGGGCCAGTAAACCATGACTCAAGCAGCTCCCGGCTCAGGCCGTTGTCACCTCGCGCAAGAATTTCGGCCTCGTCAAATTTGAATGTGTGACCGGGACCCGTCGAATGGGCCGCAACTTGAGAGCTAGCGTCATTTCTTGGCACCGCTGCAGCGTGTTCGAACTTTCGCGTTTGGAGTTGTCTTCCGGTTTCTCCGACGAAGTTGCTTTGTCCACAACTTCACCAGATCTGGTAAGCGACTCCAGACTTTTCTTGCCGTGGCAGTGGGTCTTTCGGTTTCATTACCAGACGCCTGATGGTTGCCTCCGGTCTGTGTGCAACTCCAACCCCAAGTGGTGCGAGAAGGCGGCCAACAGCTTCCGAAACGTTCTTGATATATGGAAGCGCTCGCCAAAATTTGGTGTCTGTGCGGTTAGGCCTTTCGTCCCTTTTGCGTATGCACCAGTTGACAAAGTTGCGCGGGTAACCAATGGCTTTGAAGACCCGTCGGAGGTATTGTAGTTCAGCAATTTTGTCTTCCGGCTCACTGCAGGGCGTTTCGACACGCCGATAGAGCGTCCTAACACAACTGCGTTTGTGGCTGATTGGGTGGTAACTGTTAAAGTTCAGTACTTGTATCGTATTTGTAGCTTTCTTGAACACTTTGGTTTTTAGCTCACCACAATCTTTGCGGCATACAAAGGCATCCAGGAAGGCCAGCTGGTTGTTCTCTTTCTCCTCCATCGTAAATTGTATGCCCGGGAAGACCGCATTCAGACGTTCCTTTTATGTCAGCAGTTGGTCGCGGTCGATAACGACGGAGGTATCATCCACATACCGGGTCCAGAACTTCGGTTTGCGGTGTTGGAAGACCAGCGACTCTAACAGTTGCAGGACCGCCTCGGCGATGAATCACGAAATCGGCGAACCCATTGGTGTGCCTTTCAACCGTGCGTAGATTGTCCCGTCGAACGTGAAGTACGTCCTGAGACAGAACTTCGGGAACTGAAGTACTTGGCGCGTCCAAGACGATTCTCCGTTTCATCGTATTTGCTTTGTAGAAGCAGCTCGATTGTCTCGATCGCCAGGTCCTGGGGAATAGAAGTAAAACGGATGTAACATCAAAAGATACCACGACCTCATTTGGATGGACGGTTACCCCTTTGAGTTTCTCCAGGAATTGTGCTGACGAAGAGACCGTGGTGTCTGACTCAGCGGTCAGGAACTTGAGACGCCTGAACAGCCACTTAACCAGTCCGTACGTTGAAGTACCTTTGAGCAACACGATGGGCCGGAGAGGAGCGACGTCTTTGTGCACCTTAGGGAGGCCATAGAATCGGGCCAAAGCCGTATCTTGGGGTCTCGCCATGCGTCTGTCGGTCGGTGTTATTGCACTTGAATTCTCCAAGGCCAACAACGTAGCATTAATTTCGCGTGTCAGCGCCTTTAAAGGGTTCGTTGTACATGGGACATAGAACAGTCGGTCCTCCAGTAAACCCTTGGATTTTTGAAGGTTGTCTGTCCTGTCCAGCACAATTGTGGAGCGTCCCTTGTCCGCTGGCATGATGACCAAGTCTTTGTCGGCCTTGAGTTCTCTAAGCGCATCACGTTCGACCTTGGAAAGCACTTCCCGCGGCCTGTGGGCCATTAGGAGAGACGACATTTGGTGTCGGATGAGGGTCATCGTCTCCTCCGTTGACTCCGTTTGACTAAGGATTGATTCCACTGCTGCAATCATGTTAACAGGCATGAACCACCCTTATCTACTTTTGTCTCTGATGATGGATTCGAGCGAGAATCCGAAACGTCAGGCTAATAAAGCTCTTGCCCTGGCGATCGTGTCTTCTTCATCTTCTTCTTCTTCTTCAAGACTGCTTCCTGGGACTCGTCTCTTCGCTTCTATTAGCATGTAATTGTTGATTTGATTTTCGATGCCCTTAAAAATTCAATTATATCTCATGCAAAATATGAATAAGAATATTCATTCGTTTGCTCATTCGAGGGCTACTCACGTCTTCTTCCAATTTTATACTCTACGGAAATGTATAATTCGCTTTTCAGAAACTTTTCCGATTCCCGAATAATTTTGAACCCGACCTGCCGTTACACTTGTATTTAGGGTACCCAAACTAAAAACCGTATAATTTCCGCGTACGAAAAATTACACATTTCTCTACGGACAAAAGGGGGACCATATAGGGTTCATAAAATTAGGCAGTGTATTTGAGCCACATTGCAGAGACATGACGTTTTATGAAGGGCCATTTCACAGTATTAAAAAATCTCACAATTCGAAACTTTTTTGCAACCGAATTATACCCTTTCTTTGAGTATAAAATCGGAAAAAGACACCAGTTTCCATCATATGAGCAAAAAATGAATGCTTCTCTTCTAAGAAATATAACTGAATTTTTAAGAGCGTCCAAAATCAATGAGAAAATTGCATGCTACTTATATGGTCACTTTTTCAAAGGGTATAGTTCTTGCATGAAGTCGAAATGAAGTTAATTTCAAGGCCTGTCGCCTGCGGTAACTGGATTATTATAGGATTATGCTGCTGGATGATTAGTTTTACAACTCTACCTAATTAATCTTTCCAAAACGGGAACTGATTTCGAAATATCGGCTGACATTTCATGAGTTATCGCCAGGCCTCTGTATAGGAGTTATTTCATGTATTTGCGTCGCGACAACCTGTATCTTAGCCAAAATTGCGCAGTATCTTTTGTCTAAGTTTGGGTTTAAAAAACCCGATCGACGATATCCTGGGTTTGACAGATACTGCCGGAGGCAGATGAATTCCGCTTGCCGTTTTTTACCTATCAATAGTATGCGACAGCGCCTCGTTATGTTGTCTATTACCCGCCTGTATTTATAGCAAAACGCTATAACGTGGGATTGGGGGTCTTCAGTTATTATCTGTGATCCCCGTCGTGTCTCAGAAGATGGATCCCGTTGACCGAGGATCCACCGGTGGCATTACCGACTGGCATGAGGCATAATGACCTCAGTATCTCTTTTCATTATTACGCAGAGGACTTGTCACTACTTAAGTAGCGTGTGAAGTCTATTTACGGTGCTCTTATGCATTTAAACGAATTTTTTAAAAGCACAGTAGGAGACTTCATTCCAACTTAAATAAACTAATGGTGTTTTCCGCAGCCTCTGGATAACATACATATATGCCTACTACAACACAAATGCTAAATTTAATTGTGTGTTTTCGTCCTCTCTTTCAGATTACACTGTGGACTCATCGCACCCCAATAAAGTATACAGTTCAAAGTTTATGCTATTTGGGTGCCTCTAAATGAACTAGAACACCCAGAAAGCAAGCCGCTTCGTTCTCTACCCTCCTCAAAGTAATTCCGGCACGCAAAGATGTGCAATCCACTTTAAAAGCTGCTATAATTTCGATCGAATTTTATAAATTCTGCTGATTTTCGTAGAGGGTTTACGTCGTCGTTATATGGCATGTCTGGGTGAGTGAAAAAAGCGCTTGCCAAGTGCTCTACATTTCAAAACAACGAATTCGTCCACCTCAGAGTTTGTAAACCGGACACTGAAAAAACTCTCATTAACAAAGTCTCTTGCCCTTTTGTGATCCATTTTTGAAGCCTCTTTGCGTCAATAAACGGCTCCGCCATACAGAAAGAATCAAGTACACTCTGGAGATAGTATTTACAAACGGTCAGTTTTAGACTAAAAGTAGTCGTATGATAAAGCTTCACATATTCTCACAGTTAATCACACTCGTATGGTACTTCATGGTTAAAACGAAAGCAAACTCATATGGCCTATGACCGAATATATACAATTATTTACAATCTGTAAAGAAAACAGATGCATCTTCAGTCTCCTTTACCCAGGATACTGAATAACATTAAATTAAGTGTCCGCAGACCGTTACATAAAATGATCACATATTTGCGAGCCATCAATAAGAACGGAGAACAGATGAATGCCTCGACAAAAACCCTACCGGTCATCAATTCTTCTTTATTTCCCGCGGTCGTCGTTCGAAACCTGAGTCAGTATTGCCAACTCAGAGCTCTTTGTCTCATATGAGAAAATAAGACGTTGCCAGCCGTCCTGATAATAGTCTGGTTGCGCGTTCGCCGGCACTCTGCAATAACTGAAGATCCATCATGTCGGAGATAACAGAATGCACAATATCAGAGGTATGTGTGTGTGCTGTGTGCCGCAGCATCGTGTTTGAACTATTGGATAATTATAGCTCGTCACGAACTTGGTGGCCTTTTCATTACATGACTGCAGCTGTGACGTTAGGATACGCTAATTTTTACCTTGCAGTCCCTTATTCATTGCGCCGCGTGAGCCTCCCAAATCTACAAACATGTCTGCTCTAATTGCGACAGGGCTTATGTCTGGAAGGCAAGTCACTCCCGTTACTCACCAGCTGGTAATAATGTGAAATTTGTATGTTCTTGCTTCCATCGACTACGCAGATGGTGCGATTTTCGAGGACTTCGGCTTGTGATTTCGTTGAAAACGGTTTATATGCGGGTTAAATTAAAATAAGGAAAATGTGTGCGACAAAAATCTTATTTCACCTTCACATTTTCATTGCAACGATGATCATCACTGGGACAGAAGGGGATACTCTCATCCATTTCCAGGAAACATGAAGGCCATCATGTTAGGTCTCAAGGGCGTGTGCGAACACACCAACAGATAGGTGTATATATCCACACAGGACCGGACAGTCCGACCGTCGTGTCCAACGATGTGCACAGTGTGTCCCATAGCAGGCTGAAGTAGGGAGGGTGACTTGAACGTGAATTAATTTTTAGCGAATGCAGACTTGCGCAGCATCTATCGCACATTCTTCTTCTTCTTCTTCTTCTTCTTCTCCTCTATCTGAGCTCGATGGCAAGACAGACTCAAAAAGACCGGAGGTGGGAGAGGGCGTAGGTGACTGGCACGGCCGAACCCACACCTAGGCGTGCCATCATACCCCCTGGTCCACAACAAACACTTAAACAGGATTTTAACCAAAAACAATGCGTCGGAGGATTACTGGGCAGCCATTCACACGACCTGTATACCAAGAGGGAACGCAACCGCATCTGCAGGCAGGGAATCAGGTGTCAGAGTACAGCCAGTGCGCACCAGGTTGCGAGAGCCGCGCACACAATCCTTAAGTCTCAGAAAGGCGAATCGTAACCATGATCATCACTCTTCAAAGGCTAGGTAGTCAGCCTGGTATCGACTGAGAGGCACTACCCATCAGGTAGAATAGTTCGACCGTCGCATCCGACGATGTCCACCGTATGCTCTACAGCAGGGTGAGAGCAGAGACGGTGACTTGCGCGCGATTTAGTTTAAAGTGAATGTGGACTTACGCAGCATCCAGTGCACTCCCTCCTCCTCCTTCTCCTCCTCCTCCTCCTCCTCCTCCTCCTCCTCCCACCTGGACCCGATGTTAAAACAGAGTCAAGAAGACCAGAGATAGGGGAGGACGCTGGTGATTTGCACGGTGGAGCCCGCATCTTGGCACTCCTCTCCACACGCCCTAGTCCACACAAAAAATAACCAGGTTTTTGAACAACAACAACGAGAACGGGAGCTGGCACGACGGAAGCCGTACTGAGGCGTGCCGTCATACCCGTCTCGCATGCGCACAGTGGGAGTGCCATAATGGCCACATTAAGAAGGAGCCATTGCAGCCTGACTCTCGGACCACCGGCCGGCCACTCCATACCAGCACACACACTGGACCGACTGCGAGGTTCAAGTTATCATGCCAGTTGGCAACATTCCAAGCTACATCTTTTAGCGCATTACGATACCTCCAAGCTCATCAGGTTGTTTATATAAAGGCAGATGCGCTGAGTTGTGGACCTCACTGGCCCTTCCCATTCCCACACTCCAACCACTGTCCGAACCGGTCAGTTGACTGGAGCGGGGAATGGGTGCGATGGCTGATATAATGTAGTGATCTTGTCTGCGCACGCCACATACACGACTCGATCCCCCTAACACAAGCACCAGGATTTCACAAAACCGGGGTTGAACGACGTACATCCCACATGCGTGAGAGTACCGTAGGTCACGTTGAGGGCAGCTGCTTCAGCCTGGCTTTCAGCCCACCAATCTGCCAATCCATACACACACACACACACACACACACACACACACGACAGTTCGACCGTCGATTTCAACGATGTCCACCGTGTGCCCAACAGCAGCAGCAGCAGCAGCGGTGGGAGCAGGGACGGTGAGTTGCGCAGGGGTTTCTAGTGCCAGTAGACTTGCGCTGCATCTACCTACACTCTCTCCTCCTCCCCCACCTGAGTCCGGTGTCCAAACAGAGTCAAGAAGACCGGAGACGAGGGAGGCCGCAGGTGGATGGCTCGGACCGATCCTCACCTCGGCGTTCCACAACACCCCCTGGTCCACACACAAATGACCAGGATATGAACCAACACAACAGAGATTTGGAGGCTGGCACGGCCGAAGCCGCACCTAGGCCGTCAACATCTGGCTCGGATCCCAGGCAGTGGGAGTGCCATAAAAGCCACATTAAGAAAGAGCCACTGCAGCCTGACTCCCAGACCTCCAATCCAGGGGGATGTCCAATTTATCCTGTCAGTTGGCAACCTTCCAAGCCACGGCTTTTAGCGCACCGTGATAGCTTCAAGCGCGTCAGATTGTTTATAATGAGGAGGAAGTGCGCTGAGACGGCGAACTCACTCTCCCTTCCCATTCCCACACCCGAGCCACTGCCCGAGCCGGTCAGCAGACTGGAGTGGGGAGTGGGCGCGGTGGCTGGCATGGTCGACTGACCATGTCTGCGTGCGCCACTTGCACGACCTGGCCCCTAAAACACATACACCAGGATTTCACACAACGGGGTTTAAACGGTGTCTCTCTCACTTGCGTGAAAGGGGCAGTTTCAGTCCGTCTCCCAGTCCACCAGTTCGCCACTCTACACAACACACACACACACACAACGCGACGAACTGCGTGGACCGAGTGGGGGCCTCAATCAGCAGCCTTCCTATCCACGACGCTTGACGTGTCGGGATAGTCCCAGACTCAAGTCACCCGTGCAGCCAAAGCCGCATGGGGAACGAGTCGAGATGCACACTTCCCACTTGCGTGGGAGGTGGCAGCTGGGTGCTTGCGGTGGGTGAGTGTTGATGTGTGGTGGGGTGTTGGTGGTGGTGGCGGTGGAGGCAGGGAGGGATGGTGTTATGGTGTGGTGTAGCCGACAGTTTTCTACCGCAATTCGTCGTAGATGCGCATGTGGCCGAGCAGGCCTATGCGATGCGTGAAAGTGCGAGGGCAGTGTGGGCAGTGGAGGCGAGCTTGGTGGGTATAGGTTGGTGCTCCAGGCAATGGTTCGCCAGCCACTGTGCGATAGATTTGCAAGTGACCGACCAGGCCGATGCAGCAGGTGAATGTGCGTGGACAGTGTGGACAGGTGAAGTCGGTGGTGTCGGTGTCCGTTTCGGGAAGGGCGGTGGGCGCGCAGAGTGATGAAGTGAGAGTGGGGTTTGGCATGATGGATGAGTCGGGGCTGCGGTCAATTCCGCTCTCGTGGATGCGCATGCGGTCGAATATACCCATGCGATGCGTGAAGGTGCGAGGGCAGTGGAGGCGAGTGCGGTGGGTGTAGGTTGGTGCTCCAGGCGCTGGTTCGCCAGTGCCTGTGCGATGGATTCGCAAGTGACCGACCAGGCCGATGTGTGAGGTGAAGGTGCGGTCGCAGTGAGAGCAGGTGTAGTCCTGGCCCTCACCCCTGGAGTCGGAGGCAGTGGGAGTGATGGTTCAAACGAAGAGTCAGAGTTAGTTGGCGGCGGAGTTGACGGGGAGGAGGCGGGCGGAGGGATGACAGTGGGTGCGGTCCGAGAGATGCAGTTGATCCAAAGGTGTCCAATAAATCCGATTCGTGCCTGGAATTTCCGTTGACACTGAGGACACGTTGGAAGCGTTTGTGCCTCGGCGTTGCTTGTTGGGCGTAGCTGTGATTTGCGTGCTTCGCGTTTCACTTTGGCGGCGGCGATGCGGTTGGCCTCGTAGATCGCGGCGCCTGTCTTCACTGTCGTCTTCTAGGCCGGTAGATCGCGGGCGAGTGCTTCTCAGTTGGTCGAGTTGATTTGCAGAGGCTTCACGGAGGCCTTCAGAATATCCTTGTATCGACGAATTTGGCCTCCTTGGAGGCGAGAACCCGTCGCGACGACTCCGTAGAAGAGTCGTTTGGGTAGTGACTAGTCGTTCATGCGCACCAGGTGGCCGCTCTAACGCAGCTGCATTTGTCGCAGCATGATGTAGATGCTGAGGATTCCCGTCCGTTCCAGCACATCAGTGTAGGGGATGCGGTCCTGCCAGTTCAGTCTCAGGGTGCGACGGAGACAACTGAGATGAAAGTGGATCAGTCGGCGTGCCGGCTTTGTGTACCCTGTCCACGCCTCCGCTCCGTACAGCAGCGTCGGCAGGATGACGGGCTTGTACATGTTCAGCTTCTTGCTCAGTGGCAGACCATGACGATTCCAAACTGTGCTTTGGAGACGACCGAAGGCTTGACTGGCTTTCGAGATCCTGTCAGCGACTTCGTCATCGATTTTGGTGTTACGGGGAGGTTGCTGCCCAGGAACGGGAGGTTATCCACCACTTGCTGTTGGGTTCCGTTCACGCTAATTTGTGGCGTGTTGGGAGGAGTGGCTGTGTTGGTTGATGGTTGATGCATGACCACCATATTCTGCGTGTTGATGACCAGACCGAAGTTCTCGCAGGCGGCGGACAACAGGTCCATGCTCCGTTGCATCTCTTCTTCCGAGGTGGTGTTCAGGGCGCAGTCGTCGGCGAAGAGGAGTTCGTGAACGGTGGTTGTGGATACGCGCTATTGAAAGTGCACCCGTAGTTAATAAAGAAGGTGACCGTCCGTCCTATAGGCGATGCAGATCCCCGGGCGTTCGTCGCGGTAGGCGTTCATCAGCATGGCAGAGAACATAAGACTGAAGAAAGTAGGTGCCAGCACGCATCCCTGCTTCACTCTGTTGGTCACTGCGAATGCCTCTGAGACAGGTCCGTTGTCCGTGACTCGCGCCATCATACCGTCGTGCAGCTGACGCACCATCTGAGTGAATCGCTCCGGACAGCCGAATTTCTGCATGATTTTTCACAACCTTCACGATTCACCGTGTCCAAGGATTTTGTCAGGTCTACGAAAATAGAGTACAGGTGGGTCCGCATCTCCTGACACTTCTCCTGCAGTTGACAGGCGGCAAAGATCATATCCGTTGTCCCGCGATAACGACGGAAGCTGCATTGATTTTCCGGTAGAAGGCCTTGTTCCAGATGATTATTAAGACGATTGAGGAGGATGGGAACGAAGATCTTACCGGCGACGTTCAGCAAGGAGATGCCGCGGTGATTGTCGCAGACTTGGCGGCTCCTTCTTCGCTTGTAGAGATGCACAATGGTTGCGTCTTTGAAATCTTGCGGCACTTCACCTTGACGCCACATCTCCTGGAAGAGCGCAGTCAGGTGATCCATCAGTTGGGAACCTCCGTGTTCGTAGAACTCAGCAGGGACTACGTCCGATCCGGGTGCTTTTCCGCTGGAGAGATGCTGCGCGGCCCTGATGATTTTATGGAGAGATGGCGGGAGGTCGAGGTCCACGTTGGTCTCCACTTGCGGCAAACGGTCGATGGCAGCGTCGCGGATGGCGGAGGGGCGATTGAGGACGCCGCGGAAATGCTCAGCCCATCGGTGTAGAATTCGCGTCTTCTCAGTCAGGAGAGTACCACCGTCGGCGCTGAGGAGAGAAGCAGTGCCCTTCGTCGGCGGTCCGTAGACAGCTTTGATCACGGAGAAGTTCTTCCATTCCTTGCGGTCCGCGTATCCTTGGATCTCCTCAGCTTTGCGAGCAGTCCAGGCATCCTGCAGCTTGCGCAGTCGCTGCTGAATTTGGCGGCGACTGCGGTAGAAAGCAGCTTTGTTTGCATCAGCAGTGTGGCCTACGTAGGCTTTGTGAAGGTGGTTCTTCTCGGCGAGCAGATTACTGATGACGGCGTCGTTGTCGTCGAAGCAGTCCTGGTCCTGGACGCGTGCGCGACCGAGGACGGCTACCGCCATCGACTGGACCGTGTCTCGCAGTTGACAACATCGGTTCTCCACGGAGGCGTTCTCGGCAGCGGCGGCGTCGGCAGCGATTGGAATGTTGTCTAGCCGTTGAGCTAGCTCATTGCTGAAATGCAGATGGTGAGCGACAAATACAACAAGGCACCATTAAGCATACCTGGGGGTCGCTTACCTTGTGGTCTCCTGCGAGGCTGTAGGCGAATACGCATCTTCGAGATGACGAGGCGATGGTCGGTCCACCCGTCAGCTCCCACGATCGCCTTTTTCACCAGCACGTCTCACTGATCTCGCCTCCGGACGAGGATATAGTCCAGCAGGTGCCACTGACGCGACCGAGGATGCCTCCAGGTGGCCTTCTCTCGCTCCAGCAGACAGAAGAACGTGTTCGTCAGGATGAGGCGGTGTTCTGCGCAGGTGCAGAGGAGCAACAGACCATTGTTGTTTGGGCCTCGAAAACCATTGGGACCAAGCACTCTTCTCCAGGCAGCATGGTCTGTGCCGACGCGGGCGTTAAAGCCACCAAGGACAATCAACATGTCCGCCCTCGACACAGTCGCCAAGAGAGCGTGCAGGTCCTCATAAAATTTGTCCCTTGCGGCGGCGTAGGGGCTGCTCATCGACGGAGCGTAGGCGCTGATGATGGTGGCGAATTTTCCCCCACGCCGCCAGAGAGGCAGTTAGGGGCTCATCAGGCGATCGTTGATGTCCCGCGGCAGACTGGGTAATCGCCCCACGACGTCGTTCCGGATGGCGAAGGCGACACCCGCATCTCATCGCTCTGCCTTGGATCGACCACTCCAGAAGAGGGTGTAGCCGGCACCCACTTCCGCCCGTTGGCCTTGTTCGGAGAATCGGGTCACGCAGAGTGCGGCGATGTCCACCTTGTAGCGCGCCAGTTCCCGGGCCACTAGCGCTGTCCTCCATTCCGGGCGATTGCTCCTTGGATTGTTTAAAAGGGAACGAACATACGAGACTGCCAGAGTGAGCGGACTCACCCTACCAGTCTGACGACGAGTGGAGCAGCGGTAAGGAGGTGTAGAAGAAGATGTTAAAAAAGGTTAGCCACCAGGTAGACTAATCATAGCGTCACCACAACCCAACCACATCCTCCGTTCAAAAGTATTTCCAGCCCCAGTACTATTCTGTTCTTGAAGAAGAAGACACGATCGTCCTCTTCTTCAAGACTGCTTCCTGGGACTCGTCTCTTCGCTTCCATTGACTACTCTCTTCATCACCAGACGCATCCCAACCGTCGACAACGCCACATCCTCAGCCTCACTGCCAATATAACCCAATCAACGGACACGTGTTTATTCCGTTCCTACTATCAGTAAATATTTAAATCCCTCATTGTCCTGGTCAGTGCCCTGCCAGTCAGTTACCCTGAATCGGTCGAACAAGCACTAGGAGTCCAAATATACTCCTGCTGCGCCGGTTTCACCAGCCCACACTGCTCAAGGAGATTTGGTCATCGCATAAAATTCTGCGACCGTGTGGGCCATCATGAAGGCTTTCGATAAAGAGCCGCAGTCCAAACTCCATCGCCATACCTGGTCCTACCGTAGCGCACACCCCCTGGTGACATGTGAGTTTCCTCCACAAAAGCGTATACACGACATCTCCTGGCAACCCTCCGCGCCGTTTTTCTTATGACAAACATGCCATCTATTATGCTACCATAGATACGGTGGGTGGATCTTTGCATGAGGGAGCACTTATACCTCACATAGGTGGTAGGCACTTTGACCTCCCGTAAAATGGGCCAAGCGAGAGCTGTGTTGGACCAACGCTGAGGCTGTATTAAAATATGCATCCTTCGAGCGAGCTGCGCAGTGTCTGCTCATGCGCCGATCCCAACAAAACATGCCTCACCGATTGGGACAAAAGACTAGTATGCGAGGAAGTGAAGAGAGAGAGAGAATGACTATAGTAGCTCCGTCCCCGCGACGTTTCGGCGTGTTCCCCATCATAAAGGATCTGACTCGCTTTGGAACCACGATGTGCTAGAAGTCATGGCGTTGAAAACCGGAATATGTTTGAATAAATAGTTCCTGTCAGGACGAAGTATTAAGCCGCAGTAGCTTATTCTCAATGCAGGGCCCAAGGATACTGTCACTAACCCGATGTCCCTTGTTTCTTCGACAACCAGGCCTATCGTGTGTAGTTCGCGTCGTGCGTGGCAAACATAGATTGGCTGATTAGGTTTGTCGGCAGCTGCGTCAGGTACCGCGTCCGGTCCTTCTGACTCTGTTCTGCCACGTCAGCCAAGGGGGTGAGGGAGAAGAATGTGTCTCTAGTGCTGCGCAAGTCTGCTTCCATTATAAAGCCATCGTCCTGCGCCAACAAAGTCGTGGGGCGCATTGTGGACATTAGGGGTGTCTTTCGGTGTGTCATTCTGTCTGGTGCTCGGACCAGGTAATGTGCGACAAGAGCAGCCAAACTTCTCAGCTTGCTCAGTCACTGCGCCCGCGCCACCTGGTGTGGACGGAGACAGTGCAGCAGTTTCTGCCCATGTCGATCTCATTAATCAGGAACTAATTTGCAAGTAACCGATGCGGCGCCCGTCCCATTGTGCGCCAGGTGGTCATCGCTCTATGCGAGTATCGAAAATTTTCTACTAAAATCGTCAAGACATTTCAATAATAAGTTAAGTATAGATTTACGTGACCAGATCATTAACTTTAATTCTCAACCTCCCCTCTACTCAGAGTGATGGAGACCGGATATCCTGGTTCAGCTGCCCCGTGACTGTCATCCGTTCTCTACCTCATTGTGAAAACAAATTACGTCTACCTCTCTACTTAATCAAATTCAGTAGCACACATGAATTAATAATTTAAGGAACAGTCCCTTATTCGTACACGCACACGACGGCGCTGAAGTTCACAAATTCCTCAAAAGGCCAAACTTGCCGCAGTTTAGCTAGGGATTAACACTTTTAAACAAACATAGGCGATTACAGGGCACTTCAACTGTCGCGTACTTCTGGAGCGGCCGCCCAAATGCAAAGCGACGTGACACTGGCTTTGCCTATGCCACCCTGAACGACGTCGTGGGACGACTGGCCAGTCTACTGCAGGGCATTAACGCCCACCTCATGAGCATAGACCGGTCTCTTCGGAGAGCCGAATTCGCCCCCCCCCATCGTCATCGTCTACGCCCCGAAATGATCAGTTCTGACGCGGTAGAGAAGAAATTCTGTGACTGCACCAAAGGCAGGCAAACTGTTTGTCATTGGTAACATCAGTGCTCGCACCGGGACAGACTACGCTATATGAAGGGTAGAGCTGGATCCCTCTGAAATCTTTGGCTGCAATGAAAAAGACTTACCTCTCCTTTGAGTGTGCGCCGATCATCGCCTACGCCTGGCGGGCGTGGGAATGGGCAGCCTGAATAAATCCATAATCGCGGCGCTGGTCGATGCTGGACCGCGAGATGGGCGGGACCTGCTGGTGACAAAGGTGATCTTGGGCGCCTGCAGTTGTACCGATTACCGTCTGGTCATCTTCAAGATGGGGCTCCGACGGCAGCCACACACGAGACCACAAGGTAATCGGTCATCTGTTCTGTTCAGTTTTATTAAGAGAAAGATAGGCTAACGCTTTTAAACTACCTATTGGTAGCAGATTGTCCAAAAGAGGCACCGATTATAGAAAAACTGGGAGAGATCTTTTACAAAATTCCACACGAAGGTAGACAACTGGCTGCTAGTCAAGAAGGACAAACATGGATGACTACTGACTCATTTTCTGTAGTATATACACACTACAGTAAGTGAGCCAACTCATGCAATCTCAACTGAAATTCCGAAATGCGTTTTCCTCTCAAAAAGATTAATTAAGTAGGGTTGTAAAAGGAATCGTCGTACAGTATGATTCTATAAATGTTCAGTTATCCTAAGACAGCGGCTTTCGAACGAACGTATTTCCGGCTGTATGAAAAAAAACTACTTATGTAGCATACATTTTTTCAATTGATTTGCAATGCCCTTAAAGATTCAATTACATTTCCTGTAAAAGCAACATAAAAATATTCATTTATTTGCTCACTCAGCAGAAAATTACGCCATCCTTCAATTGCACACCCGAAGGAAGTGAATAATTCGGTTTTAAACATGTTTCTTATTGTGAGATTTTCTAAAACCGCAAAATGATCCTTCATAAAACCTCATGTATCTGCATTTACCCATGTGGCTTGATAAGTTGACGGTGTGGCTCAAACCCACTGTTTAATTTTATCAACCCAATATGATCTCCCCTTAGCACCATAGAGAAATATATGGTTTTCCGTACACGAAAATTATACGGCTTGTAGTTTGGGAATCCTGAATGCAAGTGTAACGGCATGCCGAGTTCAAAAATATTCGTGATTGGAACAGTTTTATAAAACGGAATTATACTTTTCCTCCGAGTGTAAAGTGGAAAGGAGACGTAATTTCTACCGAATGACAAAGAGAATGAATATTTTTATGCATGTTTTTTTTATAAAATATAATTGAATCTTTAATTAGTTTTACAACCCTACTTTATTAATCTTTTCAAAAAAGAAACGCAGTTCGCAATTTCTGTTGCTATTTCATGAGTTAGCCCACCTAGTGTTAGTTAGTGGACAGGTTATGTGGGCGCATGCGTGGCTGATAAGTGGAATACGTGTCGAGTCTACACTTAAATGAGTCCACACAGGAGGCGAGTGCAACATCTGTAGACAGGGCATTCAGCGCTGCAGCCACTCTGTTACTGACGTCTGTGGATTCCTGCTTTGGTTGCGCGTAGCTTTAAGCATGATCGCGCAAATTGGGCGTGTTAGGTTGAGTGAAGGATTTCCGGGGGCAAAAAGAACAATCTAGGCCATTCATAATGCCGGAGGTTAGTATAAAATGAAAGCCTAGTTGTTTAGGAAAGGAAAACAGGCAGGAGAGTTGACGGTCTGTCATTTTTTGCAAGATTTGTCTGTCCCCTTTGCGCTGAAACACTCAGCAAAATTGTCTCTGACACCACATCTCTCGAAAGGGTGCTGCTAGTTTGCCAATCAGACGGGAACTGATATGGTAAATGCTGACTGCTCACCACATCGAATTCAGCAATCAGCTGATCCAAGACTAGAAGATCTTCTAGCAGGAAATAAAAACGCCTCCGTCATTTGGCATATTTCCAAGCCACGCCCACAGGCGCGATATGATGAGCCAAAGACGCGTCGAACACGGAGGAGTGGCGTACAAGCTACACTGACCTTATTACTCTATGTCTCTTTTTACGTCACATTGACGCAAGTCAATGTTTTGCGTATAGGTAGAAGTGGAGATTGGCACAGTGTAACGCGTGCAGTACAAATCTATGGCAGATTTTACAAACAGACGGAAACTCTGTGGGGCGTGCAGCAGACGTGCTAACGTGCGAAATGATAACAAAACTTCTAAAATGTGGTTTCGACCCGAAAAGATTACCTGAAGTAGGTGAGCTAACTCATTAAATCTCAACAGAAATTCCGAAATGCATTTTCGTTTCGAAAAGATTAATTAAGTAGGGTTGTAAAACTAATCCTCTTACAGCATAATTCCATAATAATTCAGTTACCCTTTGGAGACCGGGTTTCAAACATGCTTCTTTCCGGCTCCATC